AATTGGTTTTTTTTTTTTTTTTTTTTTTTTAAATGTATGCTTTAATTTTTTATTACTTTTTTTTTTACACTTAACTTTATTGCTATCACATAGGGGGCTATGAAACCCCCCAATTTACATGACAGGTCCTCTTTAGGGAGACATCAGGGGTCTCCAAGACCCCTACCTAATGTCACCTAGGGACCCCCAGAGAAGCTGATGAAGCAGAGATCTGCTTCACCAGCTGCTCCCCAGCTTCTGAAGCTGGGAATGTCTGCTGAATGCGGAAGTGATGTAATATACATCACTTCCTGCATTCGGGACCGGAGAGGAGATCAAAGGGAGATTGTGTACTTGACTCTTGTCACAGAACAGCTGTGCCGTTCCCAGACACAGCGGATCTCGGGACCGGCAACGGCAGTGACAGCAGGGGCTGCAGGGGGGGGGCGACCACAGCTAATACAAGCAATCGATCATCTCTAGAAGCGCCCGATTGCTTCAATGTAAAGCTCCCGGACGGCCGTATAATTACAACGGCTGGCCGGAAAGCTACTCATCCAGCTCCGGTGTCCTCTCGTCACAGACAAGAGGACGAGCTGATTTTTCAAGTCCTGCACCTGACCTGTGGTTAGATGCATTGCTTTGCTCAATCAGGGCTCTCACAAGGCACTATGCACTGAGCAGTGCCTTGTGGAAAGCTCGCCGAACACATGAACTAGTGATGTTCGAGCCCATCCCTACTGCTTGCTAGCAGTAGATATATGCAAAAAAGGTTTAATTGTACTGTGTCATGGCTGCGCCTAGCTACCTTACAGCTCCCCGTTACTTACCCCTCCCCGTAATGTTGCTTCAGGCACTGGATCCTGCATGTGGCTCCCTCCTTGGCACTTGGTCCAAATGATTGGGTTAGCTGCAGGGTGTTATCGAGGTCCAGGACAGTGGCATATCCGCATGATGTAACCCAAACCCCCATCCTCGTGAATGTCCCTGACTCGCAGGGGGTGAGGAAAGTGCTCCCCTCTATACCTCCATTCCCCTCCCCCAAGGTTCCCTGTGTTACCACTTGTAGGCCACTACTGGCCATTTAAAGCCCATTCCCATCTTTGTAAGTGATTTCCATTTATTGTGTTAATGCAGAGGTGCAGGGCCGGATTTCCCACAAGGCCCGGCCTCGGGGCAGCAGGGAGTACCGGGGCAGCAGGGGTGTGGAATTCCTATCTCCTGATGCCCGGGATATTCAGTTCTGGGCGCCGGGCAGGTAGTTGTTTTCTACATTTAGCTCTGCTTTGGGCAAGCAGAGCTAAATCTACAGCGGAGAAGCCACCGCTTGTTTTGTACAAGTGATCTTGGCCTGCAGGTCTACCATTTTCCATGGGGAGGTTTGGCGGGTAGGGGGCGCATTGAGAAACCTGGCCTTGGTCTTTCATAGGCCAGAGTCCTAGAAATTCAAATTTCACTCCAGAGGAACTTTAATCCGACTCTGAGGGTTATCTGTCAAATGTAATCCACTAAGAAGACGATCAGTAGCAGCTGTGACAGAGCAGAGAGGAGAAGAACTTCCTCTGAGTCATCACAAGGTCTCTCCTCATGTTGCTGCTCCTACACATGTTGTAAAGGTAAAACAGTCTCTAAACTTTCTCTCTAGCACTCTCTTTTGTCTGTCTCCACCTGCTCTGTATGTCCCCCTCTCTCTGCTCCATCTGTCTCTCGCTCTGTCTGCCCCCCTCTCTCTGTCCCTCTTTCTCTCTCTCTCTGCTCCATCCTGCCCCTCTCTCCTTGCTCCGCCCTGCCCCTCTGTCTTTGCTCCGTCCCGCCCCTCTCTCTCTCTGCTCCGTCCCTCTTTGGAGCCCGACGGAGAAGGTCACGCTACCGTCGCTGGATCGTCGCTGGAACGTCGCCCCGAAAGTCGCGCTATCCCGGCCGCTGCAAAGGTATGTCGCTATATGTGAACGGGGTCTTAGATAGCGGCTCCTGGCCGCCGGGAAAGAAACACTTTCTCCCGGAAAGTGTAAAGCAGAGTAAACCTTTCCCTTTTCTGACATCGGGGGCCTGGCCACCGTAAGTCAGAAAAAAAACCCACCACAGGAATGCATAGCTAGATTCCTATTGGCTATTTCACTTTGCAATAGCTAATAGCAAACTAGATGTTGCACCCACCCTCTGCTGCTGCCAATCAGCAGAGGGAGACATGCAGTTCTCCATCAGGTCCTCTTCTAGTGATTGACAGCAGCAGAGGGCGGGTGCAATAGCTAGTTTGCTATTGGCTATTGCAAAGTGAAATAGCCAATATGAATCTAGCTATGCATTACTATGGTGTTTTTTTCTTTTATTCTGACCGCGTACGCCAGTGGTTCTCAACCTGTGGGTCGCTGTGTGATTTCTGCTGTGCTAGGTTAGAGTCCTCCTCAGCCCTCTCCCAGCGCAGCAGTGTCAGTTCTCCCGCCACGCCGCCAGATGTCGCTGTCATCCCTAAATTTTACCGTTGGGGGTCAACTCAACTTGGCAAATGTTACCAAGGGGTCCCGGCCCTAGAAAGGTTGAGAACCACTGCTGTAGGAGGACTTCATCTTCAAGGGCCCCCTGGTCACACTGCTGGCACAGTCTACTCTCCCTTGGCTTGTCGGTCTGTCTATGCTGCCCTGATTCTATTTCCAGGCTGTGGGCGCTCAGTCTGTAACGGCTCAGGATTTGTCTGTCCTTGGAGTCCTGTAGTACCTCCAGGTATGGGGCCAGTTTGTATTCCCTCTGTAATGATTGGTAAATGATGAGTTTCTGGGAGTTTGCTATATCATGTCTCCAGTCTCTGATATAGTTATCTCTGGAATCATTAATTATGCCCTTTATTTGATATTTGGTCAGGTTGCATTCATGGGGGCTTTGGATGAACAAGGTGGATATGAGTTGTTGCAGCCCACATGGTTTGGGGTGGTCCTGGTTGGCCAGTAGGGCTTTATGGTGGTATGAGTTGGGGCTGCTGATGTTTAGGTGGTCCCAGTATGATAGCGCCCTCTTCTGTACTGCAAGAAGTAAGGGGAATCTGCCCAGCTCAGCCCGGCACGCATTGTTAGAAGTGCTCCGATGGACTTGGAGGAGGTGCTTGCAGAATTCCAGATAGAATATTTCTGTTGGGCTTGTGTCCCATTTGGGTTGGTCTGGGTAGGTGATGGGGTCCCATACTTCACTTCCATAATGGAGGATTGGAGTGATGACACTATCAAAGATTTTAAGCCAGACTCTTACAGGCGGTTTTAGTTTGTAGAGTTTTCTCCTGATGGCATAGAAGGTTCTACACGCCTTGTCTCTTAGGGCCTCTATGGCTGGTTTGAAGCTTCCCGATTGGTTTGTTTCTAGGCCGAGGTATGTGTAGCTGTTGGCTTCATCAAGAGTGCAGTCATTAAGTGTGAAAGAAGAACTCTTGGTTTTTGTGTTCTTCCTTTGGAAAACCATGACCTTTGTTTTCTTATGGTTGATTGGTAGTGCCCATGCCCCACTGTATTTCTCCAGCACTTCCAGGCTGTCTTGTAGACCTCTCTCTGTTGGTGACAGTAATAGGAGGTCATCTGCATACAACAGGAACTTCACCTCGGTGTCATGTAGAGCTAGTCCTGGTGCTGAGGAGGATTCTAGAGCTTCAGCCAGTCCATTGATGTAGATGTTAAAGAGGGTTGGACTTAACCTGCAGCCTTGTCTAACTCCACGAGCCTGCCGGAAGTATTCTGTTCTCTTCCCATTCACCTTTATGCTGCAGATGTTCTCATTATATGAGCTCTTGATGACGTCATATGTTTTCCCTCCTATTCCACTCTCCAGTAGTTTGAGGAACAGGCCTGGGTGCCACACTGAATCAAAGGCCTTCTTAAAGTCCACAAAGCAGGCAAATATTTTCCCATGTTTTGTATGGTGGACATGGTTCTTGATGAGACTGTGCAGGGTGTAGATGTGATCTGTAGTGCGATGGTTTGGCATGAACCCAGCTTGGCTTCTGCTGAGGACATTATGCTGTGTCAGGAAGCTGAGGATTCTTTTGTTCAGAATGCTATTGAACAGTTTTCCCAGCGTGCTGCTGACACATATCCCTCTGTAGTTGGCTGGATCATACTGGTCTCCACTCTTATGGATGGGTGCTATGAGGCCTTGGTTCCATACTTGATTTTTTCCTCCAGTTCATGTAGTCTTCTGATGATGTCTTCTTGATCCATAGTTAGCTCCTCTTTGGGAATGTCTTTGTACAGGCTCTTGAAGTAGTTGAGGCAGATGTTGCCATTTTGGATGTGGAGGTTGTTTTTCTTGGATCCTGAGCCGATTTGATTCCAGGTTTCCAAGAGTTTTCCTGAAGAGCCTGTTCCAGTTGTTGAAGGTTTTTGGAGATGAAGTTTTGTTTTTTCTTTTTGAGGATTTGTTTATAGTTTTTCTGTAGGACGCCATGAGTGATCCTCAGGTCGGTGTTGTCGGGGTCTCTGTGTTTTTTATTTGAGACTGTTCGTAGGTTGTTTCTTAGTGTGCGGCATTCTGTGTCAAACCATTTATTGGGTTATTTATTGGATGATTTCTTGAAAGTTGACTTTTTTAATGTTAGAGGTCTCTGCGATGGTGTATAGTATGTTGTGGAGGTCCTTTGCTGCTCGGTTCACCCCCTGGGGACTTAGTACATAGGTGTTGTTTTGGAAGTATGCTAGCTGTTCTTTGATGTCGGGTCTGTTGATGACCTCTCTGTAGGTTATGGTAGACTGTCTGGTCCATTTGAATGATGGTGGGAGGTTGTAGAGGCCGGTCTGTTGGGGTTTTGAGAATCTCTCTCTCTCTCTCTCTCTCTCTCTCTCCCCCTCTCTGCTCTCTGTCTCTGCTCTCTGTCTCTGCTCTGTCTCCCCTCTCTCTCTCTCTGCTCTGTCTCCCTCCCCTCTATATCTCTCTGCTCTGTCTCCCCTCTATCTCTCTCTGCTCTGTCTCTCCTCGCTCTCTCTCTGCTCTGTCTCCCTCTCTCTGTCTCCCCCCTCTCTCTCTCCCTCTCACTGTCTCCCCCC